AGGTGAGGCCATTCCTGTGCCCGTATGCCAGGCTGCACCCAGGCCCTTGGGCTGTATCTTTGCTGGTTTCCAACACGCTGCTGGTAGTCGGTACCCCACCCGTGTTCCCTCAGAACCTTGTAAAGGGTCTGCTTCCCCTGCCAATATCTGCCTTGTAAAAGGTCTGCTTCCGCTGCCAGTATCTGCTTCATATGACTTAAGTTCCTAGAACCTGCCCTGTCCACTTGCACATCAGGCCGGAAGCACCTGAGCAGTATCCCAGAAGCCCTCAGCCAATGGCTGGCTGGAGGTGGTGGATAAACACACCAGCTCCCTCCTCCAGCGTCTGGCACGATAACCCCAAAGCACATGCTCTAGACTGTTTCCAGAGCTCCCGGGGGGATTGAGCTGCGGTTGCCCACAGTGGCAACTTTTCAATAATGTACCCTTTATAAACTGCCTTGCCTTTTCTCTCTCATTCCCCATCCACATCGGTTATTTCCCGGACTCCTCTCCCACGTAAACCTGGTATTTGAGGGGGCTCTTTCTGGGGAAACCCAAATAAAACGCTTCCCTCTCCAGACTTCAGGAGCTCTACTCTTGCCTCCTTTCTTTTAGATGAAGGATTCACTTCAATAAACATCTGCGCACTTTCTCCCTGCACTCCAAACTTGGGCAACCCCACTTTGGAGACCACAGAATCCGAGGCATTGGCCTTCCCACATCTGTCTGTCTGTAAGCTAGTGTGAGAGCAGGCAGTCGTCCTGCGTCCCGCCCATCTGCCCCCAGGTCATGCCCAGCAGGGCGTTGGACCCCTCCGCGTCCCCTGTGCCTCTCTTCTGAGTTGTCTGAGCATATCTCTATGTTTCGTTCTTTGTGCTCTTTAACCATGGTTTGTTTTCTCATTACGAGAGCACCAGCTATTCCCAAGGGGAGAAAAGCAAAAGTCTCTCCTTCTCCCTCAACCCTCTCCCTTTAGGGCTCCCAGTTCCAGTCAGGGATGGTGGTGGGTCACACTGGGGGTGGAGGTGCCTGGGGCAACCAGGAAAAGACAGGCCGAGGCCCGGCCAGCCTCCGGTGCCCTCACTGATAGGCTGATCCTTATGCCAGTCTCTGCCTCTTGTTCCTAGGAATACTAGGATGTCTTTAAAGCAAAGCCTTTTCTACCTCACCTCGACCCTCTCCCGGGTGCGGCAGGGCTGTGAACAGGGTGAACTGGAAACATCCACAGAGCAGGAGCAGCCCTGGGTGTGCCCAGCAGGCGGCTTGCCGCATGCTGCAGTCTTCTCCTGGTCTGCAGGGATGGGGCTGTCACGTTGTGCTGCTGTTGCTCAGGACAGTGCTCCTCTCTCAGAGCTGTATGCTCACCGCCTCTGCCTGGTTGCTTGTGTGAGGGTGGGGGGACCCCAGGAGGATGATTGTGCCTCGGACCCACTAGCCAAGAAGGGGAAGAGAGGAGGATGCTGGGCCGACTCGGGCGAAGTGGGACCGGGGCTGAGCCCGCCGTGGGGTAGGTCCAGGCCTATGAGGCAGTGCTGCCCCTCCCCAGCTGGCAGCACCGGTGTCCCCCATCACGGGTACCTGACCTCCCTCCCCAAGAATCCCCTCCTGTGGGGACGGTGGGCCCTGTGAAGGGAGCTTGGCTGGGGGCTTAGGCCAGACTTCCCAGGTCTGGTTCTTAAGAGCCCGCAGGCAGCTAGGACCCAGCACCAGCTGATGTGAGCCAGGAGAGATGGATGGGAGAGGAAGCTCAGCCAGCATCACTGATTCACTCGGCCTGGGGAGTACAAAGGTGCCTGTGTAGAAAGGGTGTGCTGAGTGGTCTAGGAGATTGTGTTACTGCCCAGCATCCGCCCTCCTCTCAAGACGTTTTTTTCTCTGTATCCTCACTCCCTGCTGTCTGAAAGCTTTCCCGTGCCTTTCCTGGGCTAGATGACAGCTTAAAGAGCAGAGCGATCTGGGACGGTTCCACAAGCCCGCCCCCTTCTGGCCCTCTCTTACACCAGCTGGTCCTGGAACCTGTCCCTAGGAGCTTTTCTCCCCTTAGGTGGTCCTGGGGACGGAGGGAGGAGTCGGGGTTGCTGCCTCATTAGCATATTCATTAACAGTAATCAGGGACCTGCTGTGATCCAGGCCCTCTTCGGGCTTCCCTGACTCTTGGTAAATGGGAATTTGGAGGGTCAAGGGCTGGACTTGAAAGGACTGTAGCCTGAGGGAGAAGGGGGGAGGGGCAGGAGGGAGGAAGAAGGACAAAGGGAGAAGGATGTCCCTAGAGAAAGGAACAAGTGCAGAAAAAATCTTTGGCAAGGAAGAGTTTTCAGTAGCCCCCCTCCTCATCTCGACATAAACAAGACCCATCCCTTCTGTCTCTGAAACCAACATTTCACATGGACCACTGAGACTCCCAGGCAGGTTTTCAAGAGGAGGAACAATTTTCATTTTATTTTTTTCTGTATTTACTGTAACCTATGAGTAAAAATATAATGAGCTCCTCAAGCCCGTGACATCCCAGATATTATGGCTTCACGTGAAGCTGAGTAAGTGGATTTTAAATTCTATGAAGAAAAATCTTCTTTAAAAAAGGTTTTATTTATTTTCAGAGAGAGGGGACAGGAGGGAGAAAGAGAGGGAGAGAAACATAGATTCATGAAACATCAGTTGGTGGCCTCTTGCAGGCCCCCACCCAGCGACCTGGCCTGCAACCCAGGCGTGTGCCCTGGCTGGGAATCCAGCAGGCGACCTTGCAGTTCACAGGCTGGCACTCAATCCACTGAGCCACACCAACTAGAGTGAAGGAAAATCTTAAGTCGTGATGAATATGGCAGACGTTGCCCCAGCGGCATGTCCGTGGTGGAACTCTGGTCTAAATGGCCCCCAAGGCAGTCCCGCCGTCCCCGTCCTCCCCTGCATCCGTGCAGCAGCCTCTCACTTCACCACACTGCTCCTCTGCACCCCCCCCCGCCCCCACCACAGCACCTCTAAGTCCTGCCTGGCGTCAGGATTTTCTGGTGGCCTTTAGTCATGTTTCCCAAACCACATCCCTGAACAAAAGTGCTCCATAGTCGTGTAAGCGTGGTGTCTTAGTTGTCTATTGCCACATCACAAAACTATTCTAAAACTCAGCAGCCTAAGTCAACAAACATTTATTATCTCATGCAGTTTCCGAGAGTCAGACATCAAGGAGCAGCGTAGGTGAGTGGTTCTGGCTCAGGGTTTCTTAGGAGGCTGCAGTCAAGGTTGAAAGCCAGGGCTGCGGTTGTCTGAAGTTTCACTGGGGCTGGAGGATCTCCTTCCAAGGCGTCACTCAAGTTAGTGCTGGCTGTGGACTGGAGGCCTCAGCCCTTCTCCATGTGGACCTTCCGTAGAGCTACTTGAACGTCCTCAGAACATGGCAGCCAGCTTCCCCTTCAGTGACTGACCCAAGAGAGAGAAGAAGGCAGAAGCCACAATGTCCTTTATGACCTAACATTGGAAATCATATGCTGTCACTTGTGCCATATTCTATTAGCCACACAGACCAATCCTGATACAGTATGTGAGGGGGGTGACTACCCGGGGCATGAGCACCAGGAGGCAGGGGATCCCGGGGAACCATCCAGGAGGCTGCCTACCACATGCGGGGAGTGCCAGCTTGAGCCGGGTCAAGCGGCAGCCCATTCCTGGAGGGCGTCCCAGGGTCCCCCCCGCCCCCCGCACACACAAGTACGTGCTATGAAGCCATGTTTTCCGGCAGTTGTGGCTATAGCACCCTTCTGAGGAGGAAGGAGCTGGAGCTATGAGAGATCTAAGGAATACACTTTGGAAAACCTTGACCCACAAAAGAAAGTCTAAACTCTTTTTTTGTGTCCCTGCATAGTCCGACACTTCCAGTACAGCCTTTTCTCTCATCTCTTCACTTTTTGAAATCTATACTCCAGTGGCACTAACCCTGACACCTACAGCCATTTCTCATGCTGTTTGGCCTGCTCTTTTGTCTGATGTACCTGTTGAGCTTCGATTTACCCCGCAAGGGCCAGGTTGATAAAAAGCCACCCTCTCCATGAAGCCTTTTCCCTCATTTCACACAGAAAGAATTCATTTTTTTCTTTGCTTCTATAGTTTTTGATATAGTAACTGGTTTTGGAGGGTGCCTACCACCTCATCTTGTGTTAAAGCTCTGTCTGCCTTCCCTCCCCTTCCAGGCATTTAACTCCAGCCCCGCTCTGCACCATGTGTTGAATGCTTGGTGCATCGCTGGGGTTCAGGAAGTATTTGGTGAAGAGGGTCTTGGTCCTTCTCTTCCTCCTGCTCTTGCCCTGGCCTTGCTTTTGGGAATAGTTTCTGACAAGTAGAAAGCCCTTGGCAAGGCCAGACCAAAAGATCCTCCTGCCCAAGGGAGCCGGTGGCTGTCTTTCCCAAAGCGCGGAGGCAGGCCGGTGCGCCCCTGGAGTTCTACGCCTGGGGCGCGTGTCCCTGGCCTTCAGCCCTAGCCCAGGATCCGGACGGGGCAGGCCAATGGCCCTGAGCCAGTGTGATGCCCCTGAGATCACACTGTGTGAGGCCCCTGATGGGCATCGTCGTGTCCCAGGCAGTGCTGCAGGCTCGTGTACACGGCCATGGGTGGGGGTGCTGTGGGATATTTGTTCCAGAACCTCCCGACTGCCCCTTGATACCCTGAAGGGGCAGGCACAGGGGCCTCTGCTCAGTAAGATGGGTTGTCCAGCTGTCCGTGCATTTGGTTTTGGACATCAGCCTTCGACAATGCGAGGCCCAAGGAAAACCTGAGAGGGAGCCCAGCAGGGACACCTCCATTGCCACTGCCTGTTCCCAAGGGAGCAGGCCGGGGTGACCCCAGGGCTGAGAGGCCTCTGGAACTGAGATGGCCCTGCCAAGGATGGGCCAAGCCCATCTAATTTATTCCTTGTCCAAACTCTTGGCATGTCAGGGCCAAATCCTGGCCAGCCGTGCTACCTGGTCAGGGACGAGGGGTCTTTCTCTCCGAGAGCACTTCCGGGGGTTTCCCAGCTCCTTTCCTCCCACAGTGGCGTGGGCCTGGCGCGAGCACATTTTGAGAAGCAGCCTCCCTCCAACCTCAGGAAATCCAACTTCTTCCACTTCGTGCTGGCCATGTATGACCGGCAGGGGCAGCCCGTGGAGGTGGAGCGCACGGCCTTCATCAACTTCGTGGAAAAGGACCTAGTGAGAGGCTCGTGGGCTCGGCTGGGACAGAGCATGGGACAGAGGGGGCAGGAGGGCTTCAGGGACTCCCCTCTCACAGGGGCAGATGAATAGACAGATGGCGGAGGAGTGGAGAAGAGGGAGTGAATGGATGGCAGGGAGGGAAAGAGGGTGGGTTTAGAGAGGAGGGCAGGGGGGAGGGGGACCCCTGGGAGCATCCTCCCCATCTTGGCCCTATAGGAACCTGGGGCAGAAAAGACGAACAACGGGATCCATTACCGCCTCCGGCTGGTCTATAACAATGGTGAGTGAAGCCCACTGCACACTGGGTACCAGAGCCCCACGGGACACATAACACCCGTTGTCAGGGCTGAGGAGGCCCCTGCCTCCTGGTGGGGAAAGTGTGCTCCAGTCATCAGAGGCCACAGACGCTCCCCAAACAGCAAGCCCTCTCCACCTTTCCACCCCTAGGGCTTCGGACAGAGCAGGACCTCTATGTGCGCCTCATTGACTCCATGTCCAAGCAGGTGAGCCGGCCTGGGGATGCTGTGCCTTCTCAGACCCCCCTCTCCCGTGGAATGCACCTGCCCCTGCCTTCCCGTGCCCTTGCCCCGCCTCCCTACGCTGTCATCCGGGCAGGTCTGGCTACCTCAGGTCTTACCCCAGACTGTGCGGCCCTTGCCCTCTAGTCTAGAAAAAGGCAGTATTTGTACAAAGACCCCATCTTACATCACGTTCCCTAGAAGCTCAGCTTAGACACAGGGATTCAGGTGTGCAGGGTTTATTGGGGAAGCAGACAGGAGGCTCTCAGCAGAAGGGAAGGAGGGAAGCCAGGCAGGGCAGGGGATGTTCAGCAAGGATGGAGTCTCAGCTGGAGTCCAACGAAAGCCTGATCCCCAGGGAGCTGTAGAGAAGCCACACCAGAGTTGTCTCCACCTTCAGGCAAAGAGGCCAGGATTTGGTACCCTGTATGAGTCAGTCACTGGCTGGGGAGCACTCCCCAGGGAACTTGAAACCTTCCAGACATTTTCAGGCAAGGCAGCACCTATCTGCTGAGAGCCATTCTCAAGAGAACGCACTTAGCAGCCAACACCAACTGCAGCTGGGGGGTGGGTGCACTAGTTGGGGAAAGGGGATGAGGGGGCCCTAGAGCTTTTGCAGACCCTCAGCACCCTGCTGATGTGAAAGGTCACAAGGAGGAGTCTCAGGGGCCCATGTCCTCAGGAGCTTGGGAGGACTGATGGCTGAGTAGCCCTGATGGGCTCTTGCTCTTGCGAGTCAGGGCTCCTGGTTTTGCAGAGAAATTGTCAGTGCAGGCAAAGAGGGAGCTGAGCTCAAAAGGCCCATCAGCTGCCCTGAATGCAAGGTGGACACTTGGGCTTTCCCACACAAGCAGAGTCTTCCAGCAGCTGCCACCCAATCCCAAAACAGAGGAAGAAATGTTTTCTTTCTAGAAACCCTGTGGTCGCTGTGGTGGAGGAGTATAGAAGGGGTTGAGGGAAGTCCAGAGAAAGAAGGACCCCACAAGTGGGAGATGTCTGGGAGGCTCAGGGGGTCATAAAGTGGGAAGCTAGATGCAATTTAGGAAGCTTAGTCCTTGCTTCAGGGCAGAGGGTGGAAGCTGGGGGTGGAGGGGACCAGTGAGGAGGCTGATCCAATAGTCCAAGGGGGAGACACAGGCCTGAGGCAGGGGGAGAGGCTGATTAACCAGGTGGACAGCCTAGAGGACAATGTTTGTGAGCAGGAGTAGAGGCCCACTAGGGCCAGAGGAAGTGGGGATAGGAGTGTCTACCCCTGACCTTGGTCCTTGGTCTGCGGACCTCCCTGGTTCCAAGCAGAGCCGGACTTGGAAAGAGCTGCCTGTGGACAAACAGAATCTATAGACTTCATGGCACTGTTGCCCACCCTGGTGGTGATCCTGGAATCGGGAGGAGTCAGGCTCCCAGCTCCTGCTTTGCACTCCTATGTCCCCAAGAGTGACTTGGAGGGTGTGATCTCCCCAGGGGACAGGGCCCATTCCCACCCCCTCCCGTGGACTAAGAGGAGCCGACTTCCACCTGAGCCTGTGCACTTCCTCCCTCCCCCAGGCCATCATCTATGAGGGTCAGGACAAGAACCCTGAAATGTGCCGAGTGCTGCTCACCCATGAGATCATGTGCAGGTGAGAAGGGCTGGGTCGCTGGCGCCTTGGCCATCCACCAAAATGTTGCCAAAGACCCCTCCAAGCCCTGCCCCCTACTGCTGCCACCAGCCCCTCCCTGCTGCTCCCTGGGGAAGGCTGGTGGGGGGAGGTGGTGAGGGAAGAGGGAGGCCCCTGGGCACAGTGCTGGCTGAGGAGAGGGTCCTTGAGGCCCTATTAGCCCGGCCTGTTTATGTGGCTTCTGCAAGTGTTTTTGTAAGAGAGGCCTCCTGCCCCTGCTGGGAAGCTTAACTAATGAAGCTCCAGGGAGGGCTCTCGGGGATGTGCGGGCAGGGCCTGGGCCTCCTGGACTCCCTCCTGATCAGGGGGGAGGAAACTTTGCTGTCTCCTCCTTAACTCTCTGGGCACTTCCTTTGTTGGGGGGTGGTGGCGGCGAACATAGCTTTGGGCTGGCCTTCCCCATTACCACAGGATTTGGCATTTCTGGGCAAGGTCCCCCAGGAGATGCCAGTCAGACAGCGCCCTAGGAGGCGGCTCCTCATTGCATGGAAAAGAGAGCCCAGTGTCCAAAAACCTGGTTGGGGTAGTGGCTGCTTCTGGGAAGAACAGTGACAAAGAGAGGGCACGAGGGGGCTTCTGGGACACTGGGCACCTATGTGGTATTTCTTGTCTGGGTGCTGGTTACATGGTGGGTTCACTTTGTGATAATTCATGAGTTACATGCTTACAACCTGAGCTTGTCTCAATATGAATGGAAAGTGTCCACACAGAGAGAGTGAGAGGCCCTGTAGGTGGCCAGCAGCCTGCCCTTTACTGGCTCCTCCAGGAGCAGCGTGCCTTGGGGACAAGGGTTTCCCTGTCAGCCTCATCCCCAGGGCTGCACTCTCCAAGCCCCTGTGACAAGGACCCTCACTGCTTTTCTCCCCGGGGCCCTGGGCCCCCCGGCCCAAGAATACCATCCCTGGAGACTGAACATCAACATCCTCACCCCGCAGATGCACACACGCACACATGCACGCACACCGTGATCTCCCTCTCCTTCACTGCCCTCTCCTTTCCTCCCTTCTCATCTCTCCGTCAGCCGGTGCTGTGACCGGAAGAGCTGTGGTAACCGGAATGAGACGCCCTCAGACCCCGTCATTATTGACAGGTACAGGCTGGGGGAGGGGCCTGGGAGTTGCAAGGCCTGGGCCGGCTGGGCTCAGTCACAGAGCAGAGGGAGCAGAGCGGTGGCTTCAGGGAGGGGCAGAGCTGCCCACTCCCACTTCCACCCCCCTGTTGGTGGCTCTCAGCAGAGGAAAACTGTCAGACACCGGGGACCCACCAGCCATGGCCCCCTACTGACGGAGCCTGGGAAGGGTGGGGATGGGGGATGAGGTAGGAAGTGAACGTGCCCCAGAGAGAAAAACTGGGGGAATGGAGGGACTGGAGTGGGCCGGGCAGGGAAAGCTGGGTTCCAGTCCCGGTGCCATCTCTGTCCTGTTTGATTTGACTTCACTTCTCTGAATGTCCGTTTCCTTCATTCAAAAACTGGAGAAACCCTTAACAGGTTGTGGTGATACATATAAAAATTTATTCTCTCACCGTGAGTTTATTTTTTAATAGGAAATATACATATAAGGTAAAAAATTCAAAGGGTACAAGAGTAAATAATGAAAAGTAAGTCTGCCCCCACTGCTATGTATAGCATAGAACACATACTCTTTTGTACTTTACCTTTTTTAAAAAAAAATTGTTATATATATATGTATATACACACATATACATAGAGGGTGCAGTACACGAAACACAAAGTTTATTCTTGTGTTATTTATTAATTACTGTATTATTTTCCATATGAACAACTATAAACCTATTTTTTATATCTTAGAGGTCATTCTATATTGGAACATAAACCCCGCCTTGTTCCTCTTTTAATAGATAAAACATTCAAGTGTGAAAGAGTTAACAGCAAATCTTCTACCTCTGCCTGACCCATCCATATGCCCTCCAAAATAAGCAATCCTTCCTGAAATAGCCTGCATATACAAGAAAATACAGATATGCATCATTTTTGCACCTTTTCCTTTATTTATATAAAAAATGGCATTTAAATGTATTTTCAGCACCTTTCTGAAAGGTGGGTACATATATAGTATATATATCTGGGAGCTTATATCAGGACATGTCTCAGTAAAAGTCTCCTTACTCTTTTTTGCTACCGTAAAAATTCCATTGTATGGATAAACTATAATTTCTTTAAATGGTCTCTATTGCTGAACAGTTTAGCTGTTTTCATTCTTTTTCAGGGATAAAATACACTGCAGTGAATTACTTTGTCCATGTGTCATTTTGCACATGTGTGAATTTTATGAACAATATTACAAAGCCAGAAGTAGAATTGCTGAGTCAAAAGATATGCACATTTGTAATTTTGATAGTTATTGCCAGTTCACTAACAATTTTGAAAATGCCTGTTCCCCATGCTTCGGCCAATTGTGTATGTTGTTTATTCATTCAACAAATAATTTGTTAACATCTGCTCTGTGCCAGGGTCTCTTCTATATGCTGTGGATTAAGCAGTGACCAAAATAGACAAAAAACTCTGTGCTTATGGGCTTACAGTCTAGAAGGGAAGATAGACATCACGGAGCGGATAAGACAAATAGCACGTTAGGCAGTTATGGCAGCCAAGGAGAGAAAGCAAGCCATCACGGGGGGTTCACGGAGTGCCCAGGAAGGGCGTAGTGCCAGTTTTAGATTATATAAGGAAGTTCGCACTCAGAAGATGACATTTGAGCCACGACCTGAAGGAAGTGAGGGAGGGAGCCATGCATGAATCTGGGGGGAAATGTTCTCGGCAGGGGTGTACCTGGTGTGTTTAAGGAACCGCAAGACGGCCCAGGGGACTGGAGGAGGTGATGTCAGAGAGCGAATGGTGAGGCAGGAGGAAGGCAAGATCAAGCAAGGCCTTGTAGGCTGCCCGTGAGCCAGGCCGTTGTAAGGACTTTGGCTTTGATTCTGAATGATGCGGAAGCCATTGGGGGATTTTGAGAAAAATAATATGACCCGATTTATATTTCAGCAAGATTACTCTAGCTTCTGCATTAAAGGTGACCTGTAGGAGGCAAGGGTGGAAGCAGGGAGATGAGTGAGGAAGCCGTCACAGGTGAGATAGGACGGAGAACATGACCAGAGACGTTATAACAAGAAGTTGTAAGACGTGGTTAGATGTGGGATATATTTCAAAGGCAGAGCTGGTAAGATTTGTTATGGAAGGAGAGACAAAGTGACAGAAAGAAGTCAAAGAGGTCTCTGAGGTTTCTGACCTGTGCAACTTACAAAGAACTTCTATTTCCTGAGAAGGGGGAGGTTTGGGAGGTGGCAGGTTTGAGACGAGGAAGATTCGGAGCTTGGTTTTGGATGCGTTCTGCTTGAGATGGGAGTGTTGAAGAGCAGCTAACAAACAGGAGTATGGCTCTCAAGGGAAAGCCATACTCCTGTATGTCCAGGCTGCAGAGAGAAATTTGAGCGAATGAAATCATCAAGGGAATGACATTGTATTGATAGAAAACAGAACAGGTTCAAGAACTTAATCCTGGGGTGTCCCCTGTTTGGAGATTATAGTGATATGGAGCTAGCAAAGGAGAATGAGAAGGTGCAGCCAGTCAAGTCAGAGGGAAATCAGGGGGTGGCGTGTCCTGGCGACCTAGATAAGAATATATTCCAAAAAGGAAGCAATGCTCAACAAACAGCATCACATGCTGCTTGTGGATATGATAAGAAGACTAAGAATTGAGCATTGGATTTAGCAACATGGGGGTCATTGGTGACCTCAACAAGAGCTATTTCAGTGGAGGGGAGAAGCAGGAGCCTGACAGGGGTGAGGCTGAGAAGGAATGGGAGAAGAGAGATTAGAGACAAGGACTGGAGGAATTCTTTTGAGTTTAGCTCTAAAGGGATCAGAGAAATGGGGTGGTGGCTGAAGTACAATGTAAGGCAAAAAACCCCACAAAAAACCCCAAAAGATATGTCCCCTGGCTGATGTGGCTCAGTGGCTTGAGTGCCTGGCCTGCGAACTGAAAGGTTGCCAGTTAGATTCCCAGTCAGGACACGCGCGTGGTACCCAGTTGAGGGCTTGTGAGAGGCAACTGATCAATGTATCTCTCACATCGGTGTTTCTCTTCCTCTCTTTCTTTCTCCCTTCCTCTCTCTCTAAAAGTAAATAAATAAAATCTTTAAAAATATATAGCTTCTTCATATTCTGATGAAAAAAATTCAGTAGCAAATGGGAAAATGATGATGCAAGAAATGGAAGGGAGAATTTCTGAAGCCTTCTTTTTGTTTTTGTCTGTTGTTTTTTTTTAAATTTCATTCCTGGAAAGAGTGAAGGCATGTGGTCTCAGGGTTGAGAAATGTCTGCAACAAGCAGTGGTTAACTTTTGTTTTTTCCTCTTTCTCCATCATATGTCAATTGTGATATTCCAGGGAATTCCATTTCTCTTACTGTGAGGTGAAGCACACTTCCATGTATTTAAAGTCTATTTGTATTTCCTTTTCTGTGAACTATCAGTTCATTTCCTTTGTTTTTCTGTAAAGGATTCGCTTTTGTTACTGATTTGTAGAAGTTTACATTAAGGAAATTAGCCCTTTATCATGACTTGCACATATCTTTCCTTCTAGTTGGTTGTTGTCTTTTAACTTTTTTATGGTGAAATTTACCTAATTCCTCAATCTTTTAAGTCCTTTGGATTTTTATCATTTTTAGAAAGACCTTTTACTATGCCACGATAACTTTAAAAAATTTATAAAAGCACTGTGATTTCTCCTAGTGCTTTTATGGTTTCATTGTTTACATTTAAATATTTGATCCATTTGAAAAAATTTAAGTTATGGCCTAGACGGTACATAAAAAAGAAAAATATAACCAAATAAAAATTAGGTAGCATAATAATCAATATGCACTGGTGAACTTACCAACAAACTTACACTCAGATCATTAAAAACACCGTTGGTGCCACTGCCAGCTTCCTTCTGTCTCACACCGCTGCCTGCCCCCTCATAAAGGCAGCAAGTGGAGTTTGTGTTTATCATGGCCTTGCACTTTAAAAAATAAATGATCACAGATTGTATACTATTAAACAACATGTTGTTAGTTGTGCTTATGTTTAACTATAAAAATGAAGGTTTTTTCTATGTAGTAGTCTTCTTAAAATGTTATTTTTTAAATTCAGCATTATATTTCTAAGATTTTTCTGTTTGCTACAGTTAGCCATAGTTTGTTGTATTTCATTTTTACTATGATAAGCAAAACTGCTATGCACATTCTTTTTTTTTTTTTAAGGTTTTATTCATTTTTAGAGAGAGGGGAAGAGAGGGAGAGAAACATTAATGTGTGGTTGCCTCTCACGCATCCCAAACTGGGGACCTGGCCCACAACCCAGGCATGTGCCCTGACTGGGAATGGAACCAGCAACCCTTTGGTTCACAGGCTGGTGCTCAATCCCCTGAGCCACACCAGCCAGGACTGCACATTCTTATTTGCCTCTGCTAATTGAATAGGTACAAGAGTTTGTTTGGGATATATACCTGGCACTGGAATGAAATGTCTTCTATTGAATTTTCTTGCCTGATTGTATGAGCTAGACCTTCTAGTACAACATTGAATAATAGCGGTGAGATTGAACATATGTCTTGTTCCTGGTCTTAAGTGGAAAGTACTGTCACTTTTATGTGCGTAGGTAGGTAGATAGGTATGTAGCTGTATGTTTTTCATAGATGCCTTTTATCAGGTTGAGAAAGTTCCATACTATATTTGGTTACTGAGAGGTTTTAACAGGAATGGATGTTAAATTTGTCAAATGCTTTTTCTGCATCTTTTAAGATGACCTTTTTTTTTTTTTAGCTTAATATGCTGAATTACATTAATTGGTTTTCCAATATTAAACCAACCCTACATTTTCCAGATAAACCTCACTTGGTCATTGTGGATTATCTTTTCAATATTGGATTTAATATAAAATTTTATTTAGAGTTTTTGCATCTATGTACATAATGGATATTTGTCTCTAGTTTCCTTGCAATTTCTTTGTCCGGTTTTGATATGCTGGCCTCTTGAATGATTAGGGAGGTATTCCTCATCTTCAGTTTTTTGAGAGTTTGAGTAGAATT